TGCTCCTTGGAAGATAGGATGGTGAGACTTTGTCTCTCATACTTTGGACATAGTATCAGGAGGGACCAGTTCCTGGAGAAGGACAGCATGCTTGGAAAAGTGGAGGGTAAGCAAAAAAGAGGAAGATCTCCAAGGCAATGGATTGGCACAGTGGCAGCAGCAATGGACTTAAATCTTGATAAGTGTTGTGAGGATGGTGCAGTACCAGACAGTGCTTTGTTCTGTTGTGCATAACATCACTGTGAGTCGGTACTGACTTGATGGCACATAACCACAACAACAGTGAAACTAAGTGAGGTGCATTGCTTAAAGAACTTACCTGCAGTCATCCACTGATTTCAAAGATATGTCTAAGCACATTTGGTTTGACATGCACATAAGTCCATGCATGTATGAATTGGAACCCTAGTAGCAATACTTTTACTTATCCTCATAATTTCATAATAAAATGCATTTTTTAAAAAAATCGATATCATCAATCTCTTAAGTATCCACCTTGAAATGTCCACAATCCAATTATCAGTTCCACCAGTCTTCTACCTTTCCTGATCTTTCTGTAACTAAAACTGCTTTCCTGAGTACCAGGATACAAGATGCATAATTTACTTGCATTTTAAATTTTCTTACTTCTCCAAAAATTTTAATTTTTTATCTATTATTTTTGTTGCAAATGTAAAACGTTCCATTATGAATTAAACAGATGTTGGTGGACTAACCAGGCATTCTAATCATTGATCATCTCATTCATTCATTATGTATTTATTGCATTATTACTATGCAATTTTTTCCCCATGTTTGTATCCACAGGACTGCTCACTAGTTGGGGGAATTGCCTGCTAAAGTGTCTCCTAGCAGCCTGAAAGATTTAATGTTCCTCTAAATATTGAACTTCCAAATTTTTTTTTTTTTGTCTGTAATGTTGCAGCTGATGCAGTGAAATGTTTTCTAGAAACTCTGATGTACTTTGAAGCAGAATGTATTTACTTATGCATCCAAGTTGTTTCAGCACAGTGTGAACAAGACTTCAGTGGCAAGCTATTTTATTTTCTCCTGGAACTGAGTTATGAATTACTAAAGAGCTTAGGAAGTGATGGCAGCTGGTTGGAGTCCAAATGGATATTTTCACATTTGTGTGACTAGCTTGACCAATCGATCATTCTAACTAGGCTGTTTTGGGGGCTGCCAATCTCTGAGGGGATTCAAGGAGAGCATCTTGGCCACAGTTGATTTGTGATGCCCTGGGGTTGACAGAGTATTTGTTTGATTAGCAGGCTGGCCTGCCCAGTACATTCTAGCTTTCATCATTAACACGTGCTGAAACAAAATGCCAGGGGCAGACTGGGGAAGAGACCATCAATTACTCATATGGAAATTCAAACTGAAGCTGAAGAAAATGAAAACAAGTCCACAAGAGCCAAAATATGACCTTGAATATATCCCACCTGAATTTAGGGATCATCTGAAGAATAAATTTGATACATTAAACACTAAAGACCAAAGACCAAAAGAGTTGTG